TCATTAGTCATAATGCTTGCAAGGCTTATAGTGATGAGTATTACCGAGAGGGCCCAGAGATACCTCTCCGAAACACTGAGTGAAAAATCCTAATCTCGATCTATGCCAACCCAACAAACACCTTCGAGGACACCTGTAGAGCACCTTTATAATCACCCATTTATGTTGTGATGTTTGGTAGCACACAAAGTGTTCCTCCGGTATTCGGGAGTTGCATAATCTCATAGTCTGAGGAACTTGTATAAGTCATGAAGAAAGCAGTAGCAATGAAACTGACACGATCATAATGCTAAGCTAACAGATGGGTCATGTCCATCACATCATTCTCCTAATGATGTGATCCCATTCATCAAATGACAACACATGTCTATGGTTAGGAAACATAACCATCTTTGATTAAAGAGCTAGTCAAGTATAGGCATATTAGGGACTATATGTTTTGTCTATGTATTCACACATGTACTAAGTTTCTGGTTAATACAATTCTAGCATGAATAATAAACATTTATCATGAATTAAGGAAATAAATAATAACTTTATTATTGCCTCTAGGGCATATTTCCTTCAATGTTAACTACAGAAAATAATAGGGCAACGCCTGTTATATATCTGTCGGTTCCTACAACCCCCTCTTATACGTCTTCACTTACAAAGAATCATCTACATGCTTGTGTGACTTCTTACTTTTTGTGCTCTTCTATTTTGATGTTCTACCTCCACAAAGTGAAGGTAGTAACCTGGCTTCTTGTTCTTAATTGGGAGTTCATAACCATATAAAGATTTTCTGCCGAGCACACAACCAGTCCCCACACAAACTGGACGTTTAATGCCATCGAGACCTCTCAAGTCAATTGGCAGTAAACATATACAGATAATCTACTGATCAGTGACAAATAGATTTTTAGGAAAAATATAATCCAACGAACAACATTAAACTACTTAGTACCAGTGTGGATAAGAAAGTGATATGGACAATAAATTATACCAAGAAACACAGTGTTCCTGTTTGCATGTCTATCATTCATATATATATATATAACATGGAACCTATTAGGGGATTGGACATGATATATTTTCTTTCCTAGGTTAGGGTCCATATGAAAGCACCCAACCTCACTTAGTGTTGCTATCATTGATGTATTGATCAGAATGAAGCTACAACAAGAAATGCCCATTAGTAAGGACAGCTGATGCAAGAAACACTAGAAAGCATTCAACTTCAATCACATCTAGATAATCAAAAATAAATGTGGCAACTTGGATTTCAGTGAAATGTTCAACTTCGATTACAACTTGATAATCGAAGTATATATGGCAACTTCTGATTTCAGTGACATATAACTACTCACAAATGCATTCATGGCACCAACTTTCTTTTGGTGTTGGACGCTTCTCATGAGACTAAGCTTCCTTACTATCCCTATCAAGGCCTCCACTGTGACCAAGGAAGAGCTGAAGATGACCAAAAATTGGAGTTAGAAAACGTTTAGTGGAATAACCAGTCTGCTAGCATATACATATGTTAATCAGTGAAGTGCCAACGAATTAATCTTCTCTGAGGTGCCAAAACTGAGAGGCTTCCAGGTAAGCATATGCTTCACGTCAATGGTGGCTTGAGCTGAACTAAAACCATGTCACTTATTTCCGAATGGAGGGATTATATAAGTAAAGCTTAGAATACGAAAAGATTAGTTGCAAAACTCTAAATTAAAATATATATCAGCCTGAATTTTAGCTACAGAATCCTAACGACGACAAATTTATCAGATGCATCATCCTAATTAACAATGGCGAAATTAGCAGCGCACATGCAACATAACTTGGTAATAGCCTTGGTATAGAAAATAACACAAACAACTCAACTACAGTGAAACTGAATCAAATGTTAACCAATATGGAGGATAGACATCTTTAGGTGATCAGTTTGCAACATGTAGTAATCCGGTTCGTTGTCAGCACCTGAGTCGTGCCATCAGATCCACAAAGCAGCAGCTGCTGTGTCGGCGACATCATCATCAAAGAGACTTTCAGACCCTCACCATAGGAGCAACCACGAAACATCCAATCACTCGATCATTAGCATTATATTAAAGTCATCGTTGCCCAAATTCAAAAGATTAAGGAAAAGAATGGATTAGAAAAATGCATCCTATAATCATCTCCCATTATTATTGTGAGGTGATTGCATCCTAGAAAATTGCAGCCTAAAATCTGAGAAAAGCATGAACAAAGATCGTCAATCAAATACCCAATGACAACACAACTTATACTCAAGATTTCCCTTCCCATTCGAAAATTGCATCAGAATTCTCATGGACATCACGTACGCATCAACATCACACATGCATCAATATGCTTTTTTGAACACAATAAAAAACACAAGTACTTATACCTGTTGTGGTCATCGCTTTCCAGAGCACGCGACTTAGAAGCTGGTCGAGCAGAGGTGGAGGCGACGGCCGCCGGCGGTGACGGCTTGGAGTTGAGAGAAAAATAGGGAAGGGCGAGGGGTGGGGGATGCCCTAGCCCTACAGCGGCACACCTACCCCGCTCGGGATGTTGCTGGAGCGCCTCCTTGTGTATAAACGGCCACCATACTAGCTTCCTGGAGGCATATCGCAAGCGGGAGCAGGCAAGCAAGAGCGAAGGGAGCCGGCGGCAGGATGAGAGGGAGAGGAAGATTGGGTGGAGGGCCGGAACGCCACCGTGATCATGGGGTGGGTGGGGTGCGGCTGCTGCTCACGACATGGGAAGAGAGGGGCCGGGAGAGCCTGGATGTGGTGCGATGATGCAGCGGATATTGGATCGGGAGGGGCGGGTTTGGGAGCGAGACAGATCGTGGTTTGATTCGTTTTTAATGAAAATCGATGGACAGGGAGGAGGTTGTGCGAGGCGAAAAAAATCGGTGGAGGGGGAGGTCGTGCGAGGCGAAAAAAATCGGTGAAAGGGGAGGTCGTGCGAGGGGGAGGCAACGAACGAACGAACGAACGACGGCTTAGGTACTGCTCAATTAGGAGTAGAGATGTTTATGGAAGGGGATGAGTGAGAAAAATAAATCGAGGAGAGAGGTGATCTGTTTGGAAGGTGATCTTATGTATATGGTATTATTTCTGAATTCTTAATTACCAAATATTTACATGATTGAATTCAATAGACACCTGCCATAGCAAGCACGAATAAATGAAAAGAGGATCGGACACGATTCGGTTTTAATTGCGAAGAAGAAGAAAATTAACGTGAGAGAGATGGTGGGGGGGGACGGAAAAAAACCAGCAAAAAAAAACGCTTGAAAGTGGTGGGACGAAAATAAACCATGGTACTATTCAACCAACTCAGACATTAGGAGTGGAGATACTTCCTCCGTTCCAAAATAAGTGTCTCAACTCTCTACTAACTTTACGATAAAGTTATACTAAGGTGAAGTCACTTATTTTGGGACGAAAGGAGTAATATCAAATATTTAAACAACCTACAATCCCAACTTAATACACGGTATGTTGGCAAACACCAACTACTACTTATTGTTAGAGCATCTCCAATAGATAATGTGGATGCAAAAATAACTAACTTTGCATCTTCAAGGCCCAAATACTCTTCTCCAACAGATGATGTAAATGAAAAAAATACATCTTCACCTTCAAAAAATGTAAAATATAACACCTGGAGATGCAAATTTGCACCTCCACTAAAACTGGCGACTGCCAGCCAACTGCCCAACTGCTTCATTTTCCTTCCGCAGCCCGCCAACTACCGCCCGGGCCATGGCCGACTCTGACAACCCAGCCACCTCCTCCGCCGCAGCCGCCGCTGGTATGACCCACCCCGCTGCGTCGCTGTAGTCATTGACTTGAGTCCGTTCACTTCCGTCGCCGCGCCACTCGCTTACCGCACCATGTCGCCGATGCCCCACTGCTAGATCCGGCCGCTCCACCGTCCCCGCTGCCGGTTTCGTCGTTTCTCTGCCGTCTCCCGCCTTCGAATTGGCCGCTTCTACGTCGCCGCGTGCACCGCGTGATTTGAGCCCCACACCCCCTCCCCCGCCCCGCCCCGCCGAATTCGAGCGGCACACATGCCTCCACGCCGCCGGCGCTTTTCCGCCGCCAGACTTGATCTTCTCGTGCCGCAATGTCGTCGCCCCGCCGCGACCAATCCACCGCTCGATTCATAGCCGCACCGCCGGCCATTCGAGCTCCTCCCGCCGCATTCGACCTCCCGGCTCTCGTCGCTCGGTCGCCGCTCGGTCCACCGACGCTCCTCCCATCTCTCGGCGCTCGGCCATCAGTGCTCATGCCGACTAGTTGTACACAGCCACGCAGCCGGCGGCTGGTTTCACATCTCCACTTTGCACCATCTATTGGAGTTGCTCTTTTACATCTCCAATATGCATCATCGGTTGGAGTTGACTCTTTTGTTTTAAGATGTAAAATGCATTTTTTTTAAGATGTAAATGTTTACATCTCCTTTTTGCATCCTCAAATTTGCATCATCTATTGAAGATGATCTTAGTATTGTGTTTAGCTTGTACACATATACTCGTACGTGACTGCCTACCAACACACACCAACGTCAACTTGCAGGCAGACATGTTTGGACTTTGGACTTGACCTGGTCGATCAGGACATGCATGCTTCTTTTTTCTAGTCCACTTTACCCGCCAACGATAAAAACTAACAACAATCCCGTGTATCTTTTCTGTTTCTTTTTGAAAAGAAAAAAACAGCAACCCAAGCCACACAAAATTCGAACTTGGCGCCTATGAATTATCTACAACCATGCAGTCATTTTGACTGGATTCAAGCCCAAACATTTGTCACTTCACATCTTTCACGGCTATCCAAATTCAGACCCAAACATGCCGTCGGTCTCGCAACCCGTTTCTCCATCCTACAGAAGCTATCTAAATTCTGGAACCGCCCACAACAGCAACAGCAACAGGGAAGAAAGAGCTACACAAATGGTGTCATGGTGATCAATCCATCGTTACCAGCTCTCTTCTTGCATCAGATGGAATGATGGCCCGAGCACCATGAGTCGTAGGCCGAGGCCGTCATGTCGTCGGCGGCGCCGAGCAGTTCCTCGAGGTACTCCGCGCCAAGGTCCTCCAGCTCCATCACCACGCCCTCCGGCCGGCCACGGGCGGCCTTGCGGCACGGCGACGACGCCGTGGCCTTTCGGCTCCGCATGGAGTGCCGCCGCTTGAGCGCCAGCACGGGCGACACCCCGTGGGCGCGGCCGCGCACGTCTTCCCCCGCGCCCTCGAGCGAGCGGCGGACCTGGTCGGCGGGGAAGTTGAGGACGGCGGCGCAGCCGCGCATGGCGAAGGCCGCCTGGTCGTAGGCCAGCGCCGCCGCCTCCGGGCTCTCGAACGTGCCCAGCCAAACCCTGACGCCATTCCGCGTCGAGTCCCGGATCTCCGCCGCGTACTTGCCCCAAGGCCGCTTCCGCACGCCGCGGAACGCGCGCCCGCCGCCCACGCCGGGCGCCACCTCGGCGTCGGTTGCCTCTTGCTTCAGCGGCGCCGCCGCTGCCTCGTGCTGGGAGAGCGTGTTGAGCAGGAGCTTCTCGTCGGTGTCGAACGGCGGCAGGGGCGGCGTGGGCGGGGCGTGGTGGTGGTGGCAGCTGCTCCACGGCACGGAGTCGGGGGAGCCGGTGGAGGAGCCCGGCGAGTGGAGGGGAAATGCTGCTGCTGCTGCTGCTCGGTGGTGCGTGTTCATGGCACGGCGCGCCAAGAAGTTGACGACGCCGGCGCTGAGCCGCGGCGACGTGGAAGAAGAAGAAGGAGGCGCGCACGTGCTGCTTGGGTCAGCCATGGAATGTTCCTTTGATGTCGAGTTGAAAGTTGAAACGACCGGAAGCGCGCCTCCATGGTTTTTATACCGGCGACAGGAGTTGGTTGTGAAGAGAACGAAGCAGGGGAGAGTAGAACTGGGATTATGTAAAAAGATGCTCTGCTTCCTGGTTTCCGAACTGTTTCTGGGTGCCTTTGCCTACTTGCCTTGCTTTTGCCGGGGCTCCACAAAATGCAGGAATGTTACACTACAGCAATTGTGAAAGAAGATATCAGTAGCCAAGGTTCTTCATTTCGGAAACGAAAAACTTTTGGACGTCGCCGAAATACGTGAAATTCCAGAAATTCTTTCGGTTTTTGAGTTTTGAAAACCCAGTAAATTTTATTAAAATTTAACCTGATTTAAATTTTGGATTGGAACTGGCTCGAAATTTCAGGGCTACAAGTATTTCAGACCCCACCGAAATACGCGAATCAGTGATCATGGAAAATAGCCTAGCCTACTTAAGTATGATCAAGTGGGAGTTAGCTAGAGGGTGGTAGTGGTATACACTCCACTGCACTCAAATGGTGAGCGAGATTAGCCGCACGTGAGTCAATGTTGAGGTCCATTGCACCTGACCTGACCTTCTCATATTCGCTCTGAATTAGGCAGTGGCTACCATCCGGCATATTATTACCACCATTCGTCGCCTGGCATCTATCTGAAGTTTCCAAGCATAATACACTCCACTCCACTGGCTGCAATTTAGCTGGGTGGTGTGAGCCGAGCGAGACGGTTAATTATGTTACTGCAAATGGTACGTGATGAAGCCGCACGTGAGTCAATATTTTAACGTCCTTTTTTAATTTCTTGGAAATTTCCAAGCAAGGATAACCCCGTAATTAGGCGGGACGTGCATGCATGCATGGATGCATTGCACCTCGCCAGACGCCAGCAGCGCTGCTCCTTCACCGGTTCCATACGAATCTTCCGTCTCTCCTTCTTTCGCCTGTTCCTTCCTCCTCCTTTCTTGGTTCCAGCATTTACAGTTTTATTAAGATCGCCACGTGTTAATTAGCTGTGTTACGTACGACCGAGTCACTCACTTTGATTGTCTTCAATCGATTCGTTAGAATGTTCTAGGAGACAGTTGTTTTTCCAAAAACGTCGAATCGTTGTTTTTCCAAAAACCACTTTTTTGGTTTTATGGAAACTAAGTCTTACTTATCCTTGGATTTGTTGTGCCAACCAAACATGGTTTTGATTAGTTACAACCGCAAACGAGTTTAGGGGAAACTAGTTTAGCAAAACACATGTATCCAAACAACCCCTTATACAGTGACTCCACAACATATGATACATTGTATCTATCGAAAATGGGTTTCGTCCCGCTTTATATATGATTATAAAAGCAGCGACAACCATATAAACAACCGCATACAACTCAAAGCAAACACAAGTGGACAAATTGAGGGTCGCTTCGAGTCAACAGACTATTCACGAATGAGATAAGGTCACACCTGTCCCTCGACGAGGCGAGTGACTCATTCACGTTGTGTGTGTTAGCGAGGGAACGCTCGTCAGAGGACAACGCCACACTGTCAACATCACAATTCGTGCTAGTATTTATTTGACAGTGGATCGCTCAAAATCGCAAATTATTTGTCATCAGTTCTTTATGATTTAGGATGTTTATTTCACTGTTCTATAGAACCGGAACTACGGTGCAATTTTCTTCCCATGGATCTGATTCTGATGAACTGGCGTTCACTGTAATAAAACTCTGCAAGTCCTGATGCAAATTGTGTTGATATTAATCCGGTCGCAAAACTTAAATTATGAAGGCAGGTTTTGAAATGCTTGCAGAAATACGACCAGATCATGATGTGTTTGCTTGTTTTCGTTACGTGGTTGTTTTTGCACCCGGGTATATTACTTATTCCGCCCCAACACGCATGATGATCAATTGCATTCACGTGGTCGTTTAAATCCCGAATCGACAGTTAAACAGACATTATCTTGTTTTTCCCCCAAATGGTTTTGACAACTGCTAACAAGACGCCATATTCGTTCGGCCAGGCATCGCATACAAAATGAATCAGCAACTCCCGAACGCCGAACGCGCCGTGCTAACACATCATCACTTGCCGTACTTCCGGTTGTTGGGTTTGCCTCCCCTGCCGCCTTCCCTACCGCCTCCCCTGCCGCCTCCCCTACCGCCTCCCCTGCCACCTCCTCTGCCATTGTTGCCTCTCAGAAGCGCGAGGGTCGGACCAAGGGCAGTGCTTCTCTGCGCTCTATACGACCACGCCGACGTGCTAGCGTTCTGTTTCCAAGCTCCCCACCCATTGTTCCCCTCGGCTTCATCGTCAGGCTTGCCGTTTGGGACCTCGCTGCTTGCCTCCCAGGCCTTATCACGCGTGTTCTCTGCGCAAAAAAAACGTTGTTTCTAAATCGCGTACAATAGCAAGACCTGCTAGGTATAGAGGAAGAGATTAGCTATAGGTCTACTATACCTGGTGGCGCTTCTGGGCCTTTACTGCTATCTGGTGGCACCGAGGTTCCATTCTGGCTATGAACTTTGCCCTTGTTTTCGTCCAAGGCTGGCACCGAGGTTCCATTCTGGCTATGAACTTTGCCCTTGTTTTCGTCCAAGGCGACCGGTTCTCCGACTGGTGATTTGCCTTCCTTCCCTGTTTCTCTAATGGGAGTGCTAAGGTCTGCGGATACTGGCTTGCTGCCCTTCACTAGTCTTACATCGAGAAGGTTGGAGTACTCAATCTGCATGCAGTAGACGCTGAGGGTGATGTTTACCGGGTTTGCGCACGTGGCTAGATTGGGAATTGAACACGAGCGAGTGATTACCTCCAAGGAGCCATCTTCCTTGTAGGGTGACGTATCCACCATCATAGCATCTGACTCGTCCTCGCATGTCATTTCCTCCGTGATGATTGGATGCTCCGGAACAGGTAACAGAATGATGCGCGATGATATCAGATCATACATAAGAACTTTACCAACCTGAAACAGTGTGTAAAATGATGAAACATAGGTTGCCCAAATTAAAGCACAGCCGATGGCTCGAATATTTAAGATGTGTTTTGCTTTCATGTTTGCCCTCGCATGTTTGAAGCAACAAATGACCCATGCAGAAGTGCTTCCATAAGAAATTGAAACTTCTAGTAGAAATAGTGTCATACCCGATACGAAGAAATCTCCGGACACCACGAGGAAGACAGCGTAACCAATCGATAAGCAATCAGATCTCCCTCCTGTAACAGAAAAAAAAAGGGTAAGCTCACAAAGAGAATTAAACTAGACAATAAAATACAGCTTAAGAATAAGCAACTTCTGCAAAGCAACTAACGGAAACCAATACCACTGGAAGACGTGTTAGGGGGTACAGAGCTTCAAAGTCCAAAGGTTCGCTGGCAGACTTCCCTTCCTCAGCAACAGATTTTTCCTTTGCTAACACATCATGATTGATCTCATTGACTTTTTGATTACTGGCCCCAGAAAAAACATTTTCCTCATCCCTACTATCTACCACAAGGTGGTTAACTTCAGTATTGCTTCCAACTATTTTCCCAAGATTGCAGGTATGAGCACTTTTCTTATTTGAGTTGTTCATTCCCCACTTCTGTCCCTTCTTTTTGCTCATGGTTCCACCCCATGTGAAATTTGCCTGCAACAAGAAGCACAACATCAATGGGAAGGGAAGTAGATGCTGATTTTACTCAACTTAAACAATATTTTCTATTTCCTATTTTCATGTACATAAAATGGTAATCTTGATAATGCATAATTCAAATCTACATCTAACTTAGATTTTACCAATCTGCATTATATATTTCTGCACACACATGCGCTGGATACCCCATGAAACTTGAGCTAAATATAAGATGGAAAATGGAAAAGAACCTATCATTAACACCCCAACCACGTGTAAAGGCTTTAAAAAGATCTGTTAAAGAACATATGGGGAAGGGATGATATTCTGCAAACTATTAACATTTCAGAATAAAACTCAGTCCACATTGGAAGATATGGAAAGGAAAGTTCACTCCATTTCGCTGCTTGTCGACTTCATACTCTCCTCCTAGCTGTAGCTTTTTAGGGGAATTTTTTTAAATGTTTTATCTGTTGTTCCCACAAAGTTTTGACATAGTGGGCTATTTCTTCTTGAATGTTGGTACCCCGTCGAGATGAAATAAGCCTCGTATCTAAGTTTCTTATAAAGGAATAGGCTATCTGGAGTACTAATTTTGAGTCTAAAGCTAATGAAATAAAAAATATAGCATGTAGGACAGAGTCAGAAGTTAATCCACAAGTCAACATTTAGGTCTTTGCATCTGTTGTCTGTTGAAAAATATTTGAGCAGAACAACGCATCCAATTGAACTGAGGGATAAGCAACATGTTTCAGTAACTACATAGATAGGCCCCAAATTTTAGTTGTTGCAGAATGGTTGAACATTATAGGCATTCCATGATGAATAACAGAAAGGACAAAGAGAAGTAAGTAAACCTGTGTTTCCTTCGCTGATGACGTATTTGGTTCACCTAGAAACACAAATAATTCTGTGTTAAACAAAATAAATGATTATTCAGGTAGGGATTGAAGTTTGTATAATGATGTCTATAACACAAGAATGATGATTCCTATAGAACTGTTAGAAAAGTTTAAAAAAATACAAGTCGTGAAGGGAAAATGGAACTGCAATATAGTTGATTCACACAGAAAAAATATATAGCTCCATAGCCACTTAGACAACTGACTGTCGGGACAGTTCTTTTGGGGCTTATGGGTGGCTGCCAAAATAAGCTGCCCCTTACCCCGCTTATTCTGGCAGCCCAACCTAAACTTTTATTTTAGAAGCCTAGTAGTTGACCCTTAATTAGTCTCACTGTGATACAAATCTTGGTTCATCGGGGTACCTACTGTGTAGTAGAGGGCAGGCAGATGACATTGCTTGAAGGGGATAAAGGTTTTCAGAGGAGAAGGTTGGATATAATCTGAGATACAGAGGTGTTGAGAGAGAAAGCAAAGATGCAATGCGGTCCCTTCCATGACCTAATAGGACAGATCTCCAATGCCAAGTGAACTTATCTCTAATACACCCAATCTATAAAAACAAATAAACTCGACTAAGTAACTAAAAAGCAAACCAACTATATTAATATTTCCAACTAATGGTGACTATGGACACAGTGAATCCAAGTAATGGTGACTGTAGACATAGTGAACAACACAATCTACCAGCAGTGCCACTTGGCAACAGTAAAACTATCCTCCTTGGATATTTTCTCTCAGAAGATCAATTCAGGAACAAAATTCATAGGCTTGGGAGCAGCAATGTTTTATATTTCCTAACTTAGCACAATGATCTGCCTTGAGGATCCACCCCTTTCAGGTATAAATAAGCAGACTAATTGGTCCACGATGCAAATTATAGGGTATTTTTCCAAAAAAAACACAACATAAATCGTTTGCCTCTTTTATGAATGTCAAATTGCACTGAATGACTACAATAACTCTACCACAAAAACTATGAAAGTAATTTCGTAACAATTTCACTATATTTTGAGCTTCAAGTATGACTCAAGAGTCAAGAGGCAGGACACAAGCAGGCAAGCAGCTCATACAAAAAAAACATAATAAAAACTTGAATAATAGCAAATTATTATCAAGATGTCAAAAAACGTTTTCCAGTTGACCATACAGAGCATAGAATGTGTCCATGTTTGGACATGCATAATGGCATGTGTGCAAGCTCACATGCAGTGTAGTCAGGGGCACTACAATTCGTACAAGCTTTCTTTCCCAATGGGGATGGTAAACAGATACACTATCAGTGAAGTGCCAATCGACAAATCAACTGTTGCAATGCAGAAAATCGTATTAACAGGAATTAGCTCTTCACGGGCTCAGGAATACCTGCTGGCTCAAAGCGAATGTGACCAGGACGAACCACAACTGGAACAATATCTTCTGATGCATCAGATTCTTCCTCCTCTGCTTCATGGCTTGAAAATGGCAAGTGAGGGCCATTCTCATTGCTTGACGGGCAAGGAAGATCATCGTGATTGCTTGAGGATGGACAGTCAGCAGCAGCGGGTGATTCCTGGCAGTCCACATTCTACAAATATACATTGCGGATTAATATGTTTGGCTAACACCATTTATGTTCTATGACTACAATAGATATGAGACCATATCAAGTACGACAATTGTGCTAATCGCATGGGAGATCTAGAGCCACTGGAGTAGGGTACCAATTGAAATACATTAAGGTTCTCTTTCAGCCCCACGTGCAAGTTTAGAACAGACCTTCTTGTTTT